TTAACCAAAATGAATGATTGTCGACTACAGCGTACTGCTGTCTGAAGTGCTGTCTGTACAATAATAACACCATGGTGCATGGTACACAAGCTCGGGACATGGAGCTGCTGTCTGAAGTGCTGTCAGAATGATGAGCCCGTGGACATACAATGAAGAAGAACGCCCAACCACAGCAATCATTCATTGCAATTGACAATCACCCGAATCTATCCAGATAATCTGTTAGGCACAGCAGTGTAAACATCGACACTGACTAGTAATCGTTCCACATTGAAGGGGTCTTCCACGATACAGGTACACATATAAGACACCCGAGTTATCCGCGCCATCTCTGCCGTGTCTCTCTACAAAACCAGTGACGTCATCACACACACCCAACACCTGTATTCAGGAAAAAAAAACGGAAAAATAATTGACAATACAAGAGATGTTTGTCCGTGCGCCACGGTTCGATGCCGTCCGCCTGCTCCGGTTCCGCTGCTCCGGTGCCGCTGCTCCGGTGCCGCTGCTCCGGTGCCGCTGCTCCGGTGCCGCTGTGGCCAGTCCTACCACGACCAAACTGACACACTGTGGCCAGTCATTCGCCATTATTAATCATTATTGATAATCTCGGCGAGTGCAGAGGTACAAGCTCGCATTGCGCGGGCGTCAAGACGCCGAAAACAGGCGAAGAAGATCGACCTCGGACCAGTCAACGCCAATGATATGGGGATGGAGTGTAGACGCATCGTAGAACGCGTTTTCGTTTGAAGTTGACGTCTTGTTTGAGAGTAGATGTGACAGATTTGCGTAGAATAGGGTAAGATGTTATCATGAACGGAGATGAAAGGGCTTTTCCAACACGGAGATGTAGCATGGATCAAAGCATTTGTTGGATTTCAGCTTTTACAAGCGGACATCAACGCAGTAGTATTTTAGCAAGCTTACGAACGCATATAGGATACCATCAGGATTGTCATTGGTAAGTTGAAGAGGAGATACTTTTACGATGTAAATGACAGTAGAAATAAGTCCTACAAATGTTGTTGTACTTCGTATTGGTTTAATATTCATGTAGAGTATGAGACATTAAGTGAAAGTTTTCTGACGTACATCTGCAATTGTCGGAAGGCCAAAATAAATAAATAAATAAATGTGAAGAGAACGATCCAACAACAACGTTCACCTGCAGCAGATTGATCCAGCAAGCTATCAAGTATGCACGGGTAGGTTTAGTACAGGAGAGTATGTTTAGTAGAGTATCGAGAATCTGTACTAACGGTTGAGTAGA